CTCCCAACTCTCCTACATAATGAATGCCTTCAGGCCAGTGAACAACAAGATGTAATTACATGTGTTTAGTCCAATTAAATAGAACATGTGGGTTCTCTTTGGTCTAGACAAAACAACAAAAATTACATGTAAAATTGATAAGAACTGGAAAACAGACAGCTGAAAAAACCTCTTGTTTTGGAAAAGTCAAGTTCAGATTCAGGCCAGCTTAGTAGTTTATGATATGCTAATGTAATAAACTTGTGCTTCAATTGTGTAATAGTTGAAGTTTATCTAAAAATGGCTATTATAAGCAGGTCACACAATTTTTTGGTTGAATGCTTTTCATATCAATGTTATCTCAATTGGATGCTAGCATGACATTACTATATATTTGATTCACCCGAAAAAGGAGCTTATTTTCTCATAATACACTCAACAAAATTACTCAATTCTGATTGGACAAAARGAGTACAATTAAATCCCAAATTGTACTCTGTAGAGTCCCAATTAAGTTGCTCAATGTTGTTGAGTGTATTATAAACAAAACATTGTGCAATCTTTTTGTACAAATCTGAATTCATAGATACTTGTGATYATGTTTTGTAAGATCTCAAATTTAACTCACTAAAGCCTTGTCCAATTTTGAAAAATGTCAAAACACTACCTGTACCTATAAATTTGGAATTGTACTCGAGATTGTRCGATTTCCTATACAAATTTGTCACATTAGCAATTGCATTGGCACTGCAGAGTTTTGTCAAAATTGCCCTTAAACTACGAAGATATAAATTTTTCTAAACTAAGCATTTTTGAAATGAATGTAATGTAGATGCGCATCTTATAAGAGCCATTACTGACAAATCCTTTTTGTTCTTTATGTTATTCTTTTCCTGAGACATTTAGCTTGGAAGCAATATGATCTGATGTTTGTCAAGCCTTAAGTATATGGTGTGTAGTTACCCTCTAGACCAACATGAACCAGTAGTGCAAGAAAGAGAATCAAGAAATATGACAAAAGTTATATGTAAACACAGTGTAATAGAATAAYAATAATAATCTCTTTAGTCTCTTTAATCTCTGCAGTCATACATGTGTGATGTTTTCAATGCTTTCAGAAAAGACAAGTCAGGAATACAAAGATGGTACGACAATAAAAGTAGCATAGAAGAATCACACTTCATGATTTCTATTTTTTCTTTATAGCTTTGTGAATAATCTATATGACTAGGGATATTTCAGTTTATACAGTGTATTGCTGATGGCCACTTTTAGCTTCATAGCTGACCTCTTGACAGGAGTTTTATACAGAACTCTAAAGTCCTCATTAGTTTTCAAGAGCRAAATTTACTCAATGGTAAATCTCTTAATCAGAAATTAGCAGTTACTACTCTAATCATACTCTATAAATAATTCAATCCTGATAACCTTCACTATCATTTTCTAACATGTCAATCAACTGATTTCCAAAAATATCACACAGTGGAAAAACAAATACACACACACTGTATATACACACACACTGTATATACATATAAATTAAGAATTATACTACAGCTAATAAGTAATGTCTTAACAATCAAAACTGTTGCTAGGACCCTGTTGCTAAGCATTCAAGAAGCAATCTTACAATCTTAGAAGATTTGTAAGTAAGATAATCTTTAAAAATCAGAGAATAAAATTGCAATTATCAAAACTTTCTAAAGAATTGTGGATTTTTAGATTGGTGTAAACAAATAGACTACACTTTGACCTCTTGATGACGTCACTCACAAAAGATCCCAAAACTGAAATACACATACACACTCTCTAAATATAATCTTATATCTCTAAAATGATTAATAACATCAAAATAAACTACTAATAGTATTGGTGGTGATTATAATTTAGTAAAAAGGTTGATTATAAATGACATCAATTGATTATTTTCTTAGAATTAAGAAACAGAAACAAAACACATGCATGAGAATGCTAGGAATGAAAAGCAGAGCAGAGGAATGACGAGAAACATATTGAACTCTATCATGTCAACGTCAGTTTAATAGGAAATATGAGATACAGGGTTATCCTAATCTTTTTCGAATAGTCATTTGACTTCTCAAAGTTACATGACCTTTGAATATCAACTGCAACACTGGGAGTTTTGATTTAAATTTCTGAATTACGACTTGTGTAATTACAGCTCTACAATCTCTAACTGGGATGATATATCTTTTTGGAGTATTCTTTTTCATTTAGCACATATTGGTAAAATAGGCCAATCTCCTAATGCTGCTAGAAGTCCTAGAAAGACTCAAGATTAGATCTCTTATCTTAGGACTGAAGCAACAAAATACCCCAAATTCAAAGCCCTGATCTTCAAAACTCTCTATTCTTCATATATCTTTGCAATATGTTTGATACATTATAATTCTAAACCTAGATTTTTTGCTAAAAGACACATTTTCCTTTAGGAATAATTTATAGAATTATCTATTTATAAACTTTTTTGCTTTTGCAAACATGCATACATGAAAATCATTTGAATACATACCTTGAAACTAAACTAAAGTTTATTTTTGGAGCAATCTTTAGAGTAATTGTTGATTAATAGCTCTATATTACTTACAAAGTTGTAAAGAACACAAGATAAGCTTGCAAACTTAAAAGCTGCAAAAATATTCCCTCGAATAGGAGACAGATGCTAATAATAAAAAGATAAATTGGAACTCTTTGTAAAGATAATTACAGCAAATTAATACTCCTACATCAAGAAGCTCTAAAAGGTTTATTGCGCAAGTAAGACAGACCTCGACAGGATTTAATGCTAGATGTCAATAAAGAATAATGTTTTAAAGCGATTTGAAATGCATGTCATTCTCATATCAATTATGCAAACTTTTTTGACAATGTTTTATAAACAGGAAAACTCAATCACTAGCTGCATACACCAGAGTAAAGGTAATAAATTATTATCATTGCATAGGTATTAGTGGTGGAACGACTTTATACAAATCAACAAAATAAGAAAATTGGGTTTTGGAGAAATTTTAATTTATAATTTTCAAACTTGAAAATATTTACTGCTTAACTATAAGCAATAGTCCCATCATTACCATAGCTGGGTTAGTAAATGTCATACCAGTGTCGTACCACTATAAATAAAGTCCCACAGTTCAACTAAGAGGTTTGCTTTTCATATCGTTAAAGCATTAACAGGTATATAGTTTAAGTATTTTGAAATAAGTTGATCGTGTGAGCTGACAGGACAAATTACTTTTGCAAAACACTGCTGTGATTGTGGCAGCAAGAACTTCAAAATACCCTTGTAATGACCAAAACACTTTATATATAGGGCTAATAAATTCAGTAACAAAATCGTGCAACCTATTGAAATATTATGTGTACAGGTCACTGTAGGTGATAATTAGAAGCGAATAAAAGTAGCCTAAATAAGAAGTCCAAATTGGATAAGCAAGAAATAAATTTGATGTACTGTAAAACTGCATTATTGATGGTAAAATCTTCAAGCAAAGGTGATGGGAATATTTTGTGAAATATTCTAAAAATATACCCAAGCTATATAAGCAAGGTAGATTTTTTTGTGAATGTTGGTTTTGATGTTCAAAGGAAAATATGCTCATTATGAATTCCAATACTTTTAAACCAATGGGGGAAATTTTGTCCCAGTAATAGTTGTAGCAATATGTACGTTTTTATTATGATTTGATGGATGGTTATATCGAAAAATGTGCCGAAAATAAAAAAAAAATGCTCTTCATAGAGCAACAACGACAGAGTTATAGAATATAGAAATATAGATTAGATAAAAACTATGCAACAGAGTACAAGCTACGTGTATTTGGAAGGAAATGTTCTACATGGATGATTTTGGCTAATATGAAAGAAGGATGCCTGATCTTGTCAAAAGGAAGGATTTCCAACAAAAACAATTCAACAGCAAAACCAAACACTCCGTAATCCAAGATCCAGTAGTGTCGCAAAACTTGATTAACTCAAGGATTTGGAAATATTTATAAACAATGTGAGTCCGTTCTTGTCCGGAGCAATGATTCTCGAATGAGTAATACTAACTTGGAACGGCCCCCGGAAAAGAGAATAAATCTCTCTACATGAGAAAGATTTATTTTTAGATGATGACTACAAAATATTTCACTTTTTCAAGCCGAATTCTTCGCGATTCACAAGGAAATTAGAAAATTCACTCAACGCTCAATCACTTATTTCGTGTTCTACAAATTAAGAGATAACTTTAGACATGGAAATAATCCCATAAACGTAGATTGTTTGAAATTATAGATAAATAAAATAAGTCAGTCAGGCTATTTACTTCCTTACTTTTGGTAAAAACAATTACTTGTATTTCGATTTTTAAAAGAACCAAAATTAAACTCAAAGGTTTGATATTTGTGTAGTTGAGAGAGAGAGTTCCTTCATGTACGACAAATGCTGCCATCTTGGAAACTCTAAAAATATCTAAAGTAGTAGTCAAAAGCCGCTGTAGAATGAAAAGAAACCGTAGCTGTGTAGTAAAGTAGTTGTGTAAAATTCGATTGGCCTGAAAATGAAGCTATCAAAGAGGTTTTTGATTACATTTTGCGTTAGACAACAAAAACCCTAGTTAAGCCTAAAATCGATTGAAAATACCCCTTCGTTAAAGGACTTACCTCATGATATTTGGTTCTTTGTGACGCTAGAGGCTTTCGATTGTATCTCAGGCGTCCTTCCAAGGGGGAAGAAGACCTCTTTCAGTAGAAGAATGTGTAGAAAATGCAATAATATTGGCTTGCCGCACCCTCTGTTACCACGAGTTTGCTTGCTCGAACGCTCAAAAACACAGCTTTTCTTCTTTGAATGCTCGTTTTTTTCTCCAGAACAGGAAGTGAGCTATTCATCTGATGAAACTAGGACACCCTGAGTTGACTTCCGAGCAGTTCTTGGACAGTGAAAGTGTCCTGATTCCGTGAGAGTGGTTTACCGGATATGCACACCTAGTCAGCTATGAAGCCGCCATTACTTTGACACTGACGTCACAACACTCGACTCGACCTCAGTCTTCCCTGAGTTCTCTACGTCAAACGTCCTTAGAATCTATCTTTCAATTGGCTCCGACTTCTAAACGAAAACTTAACATGGGTCCACTTAATTATACGAAATATCAACTTATTGATTCACATTTGCGAATTATTATTAAATTTCCTATAACCTCAAAGAGAATAAGAAGAATTATTACCCTCTTGAAGCTCTTAGAACTTGCTATGGGAATTGATAGCTTGATCTCCTTGAGCCAATCAGATTGGGTCTTGTAATGAGGTAAGATAATAACAAGTAGGACCACCTGCAGGACATGCAGTTTTATTCTCTAACGTATTGCACAATATCGAACAGAAAAGCCTCATTTTTTTCAATGAATAAATAGTTATATTTGAGTTAAAATCTTCGTTCCTTAACAATAAATAAAAAAAATAGAAAAGTTTTCATTCAGAATTAACTTTTTAATTGAAAAATAAAAAAATAAAAAAATAAAGTTCAAAACACTAGGAGGGTGAATAAGCAAAAATTCTAGTAGATAACGAAATGTCGAAAAACACCTGAATACACCTACACACTACTCATGCTCCTTGGGACCGGCTTTCACTCTCAGTTTTTTATTTCATTATTTGCGGTATTTATATCTCCCCGTAATATTTTTCGGTCCCGATATACTAACAAATATATTACTAATATATAACACTGATCAGATAGTATCATACTAACAAATATTAATAATAACACTGATTAATATCCTCAAAACATTTTATGAACAAACATTTTTATACGAATTTACCTGAAAAAAATAAAATAACAAAAAATGAAATGAAAAGAGGGTGTATGGTGACGACAAGGGTGGGTCACACGATTTTGACGTTCTTAAAAGAGGTGGGCTCTCGCGGCTATTCTCTTCAGTAACTACGACTTTCCGCCCTCAAGAACTGCGATAAACCAACAGCACAAATATCACTTAATGAGCGAAATTTTAGAAAAATATATAGATAATATTAACAAAACAAAAAATTATCTTTAACACGCGGGTACTCAATCGGGATTAGATCCTCTCAAGCCACTTGCAACTAAGCTAAAATCACCATGGCGTGCGGCGGTAGCAGTACCAAAACTTGAAATTTGTTTAGCCCCGATCCCTCCGATTTAATAACACTAGTTTTCAGACAGACAGTAAGCTTATTGAATAGTGCTCGTGAGAAGTAAGAGTGAGTGCATCTTTCTTTTCCGGTATATTGCCTTTTGGTGCAAGCGGGGAGAACCCCCTGGACGCCATAATCATGTGAACAGTGGGTGACGGTGTGGTATTGGGGTATTTGGAAAATTAAGTCTGATGGCTGTCCAAATCCATCTGGACCCTTTTCTCAAGATCAAACACCACTGCGCACGAGTCTATTGAGAGAAGAAAAATAAAATTCCCAAAAAAAGTGCGTGACTACGATTCAAAGAAAATAATGTTGACTTGCTTCTTGACAACTTCATCTCAAGTGTAAATTGATTCCTATCATGGGTTACGTTTTGTCCAGGCAAGTATCGAACGAAAATAGAAAAATCGATAAATAAACCGATAGCTAATCAATATATAATATTGACATTAATTCAATAAGGTGTCAGCCTGCAATGACGCATGTTCTGCGCATGTATACTTTATATTTTAGGATGGAAACTGAAGAAAAGAGAAAGGAAAATGTTTAAATATGTTTATTCCGGTTGGGTGAAGCGGTAAGTGGAAACTACGTATGTCCCTTTGATTTTCATTTTGTTTAATTCAGCAACACAAACTGTCATCTCAATGAGAACGTCTTCCTTCCGCATTGCGAGACTCAAGTAAATATTGATCAAGTGCACTTTTGATGTCCAATATCCAATATTTAGATCATTTAATAGACTTAACGCCAAGTAATTACTCTTTAAAATGGCTTATTTCAATTGCCATGCATATCTCAATGATATACCATATTTTCCGTCGTTTTCGATGATACGGCTTCCTGTCTTTTACCGCGGTGTCTTGCTAAGGCGCGTATTGAAGGGAAGGAGATAAGACTGGGACTCACAGAGACTTGACGTTTTGGGTACCCTATGCGGTAGTCAATGATTTAATGCGGGTATGGTCATAAGCTAAGATTCAGCACTCCGAGCGAGGTGAGGTATTGGAAAAAAAGATGGAACCTTGCGCCCAATCGGGTGTTCAGCTAAAAATGATATAATCATAAACGTAAGGGACCCGTCATTATTTATCACCTGGGGGGGTGTGAGGATTTTTGCATGCTTTCAGCTAACTCTGACTGATCCTCCCCAAACGTTATATCACTTCTCAGTGATCCCTTATCATAAGGTCTGGTAATTTTGGTGATCCCCCCCTCTTATCAGATAGGTCGACTTTCGACTGAAAAAAACGAGAACACAGTAGATTGAAGCCAGTAAACAACAAATTTGACATTAAAATTTGTTTTTCATAAACCTAAAATTTGCTATATGATCAATTCTGAATGTTATCAAGATACTTACAGTTTTATATATTCTTTTGACACAATGAGCCTTTGAAGATTTCTCGACTCAATGTTCCGGAGTGCAATGTTCATTTTTCTTAGAGCTTTAGTTCTGTATGGTTATTAATTCTCTCTCCAATTGAAATGTGGCGTAAGCTAACACATCTGCTTGGTATATTGCATTAATTTGCCGTTATTTAGACTATCAAGTTCTTTACTCCAATATTCCGCGACTGCATGTGTTATACTAGAACAGACCCGACAGTGTAATCAAATGAACAATGCTTGAGAATAAATATAAAAAGACTTGTAATTTCCTCATTATGAATGAACTGTTACTTTGGTTACTTGTTCTTCAGGTACAAATGTAAGTGTTGCTGCATTATAAATAGTAGTCTCTTCGTCGAGATCAGCGATGACAAGATCATTGCTGTTGTCATCATCATCATCATCGCTGTCATCACAACTTGTGTCGGATTCAGATCCACTGTTTTCGTCTTCATCGCTAGACAGTTCATGTGTAGTGTCAGTTGTTTGTTGCCGATAATAATGGCATCGAATTGCTTTCAGTTTGTCAAGCGTTAGCCCAACAGTTGTCAAAGCATGCTCTTTCAGATATAAATCAAGTTGCTTTACCGCGAAGCTTTTGAAGCTGATTTCCCTCAATAATTTGAGACCAGTGATAGTCTTTATAGKTTTTTTCCTCTTCTTGCCTTCTTCGCTCCTTTGCCTCCCTTGCCCGAATCTCTTTTCGTATTTCTATGTCTCTTAAATGATTTAAGTATTCAGACGCATGATTTTCCTGGACATTGTATGAGATGCAGAATTCAGCGATGGCATCTCGATTGTCTGTAGAGATTCCACCATTATAAACAAAGAAAGTTTTCAATTTGTATAGTACTTTTTAATTTGCAAATAGTTTCATATGAACAACAATCTTTTTCACTAGTTAACTTTAATTATTTCGTGAATATTCAATATGATAAACGCGAAGTTGATTACTTGTATTATAAATCATATTTCTACCCAACATCTCCAGGTATCAAAGTAAATGCATTTTTAATTTTTAACTTTGATGAGTCAAGCTTATATATGACAAATGATCCCCCCCTGGAAGGTCTTTAAGTGTAACTAGTCCCCCCCTCTTTGCTTTCTGAAATCGAGTGATCCCCCCTAAAATCCTCACACCCCCCAGGTGATAAATAATGACGGGTCCCTAACGCATGGCCGGAAAGTGCAATTACAAACTTATAATTTATCTTTTTGTCATCTCCGTTGGCTATTAAAGAACTATACTCTCTTCTCCTTTTTTTCTTCTTTTCTTTCGCTTTTATACTTCAATATTTTTTTCACAGACTTCCTAGCATTTGTTCCAACCTCTACAGTATCGTTATCATTTAAAAAATGTCATAAAGCTTTTTTGTTTTTCCCTCATTTGTAAGATTTCCTTTCCCTCTTCCATTATTTTCTGCTCTCCTGTCATCTTCCATTCGTTTTATCTCTTTCTTTTTTTCATCTATTCTTTCTTTTATTCTTCTTTTTCTGTGTCCTTATGCTATTCTCGAAATGACTCATGGGTAATATTCCTAAGGCCGCAATGCCTTGTGGTACAAGACACGAGGTGACGCCATTTTGATCGTTCATTCTCGAAGGACTTCGTAGAAAAATATGACAGAACCCAACGAAACCGTAGGCGAAGTGAGCTCTGAAGCTCTTACTCAAACAACCGGGGACTCAGCTTCAAATGTTGAGAACGGGCAAAACGAAAACACCACAGAAGAAGTGAGGAATGATGAAAATGAGACGAAGGGTCCGACTCCATCAGCACCGAACGAGTTGAAGCTTTACGTTGGTAATCTTCCTGATAACTGTGTTCGAGAGGACCTCCAGACGCTCTTCTCCAAGTATGGTGATGTTTCACAGTGTGATCGAGTAAAAAACTTTGCTTTTGTTGTAAGTATTCAATTGACAATATTGAACTTCTTACTAGCTGCCATTTCGTAAAGTTGTTGTTTGTCTGGTAAGCAGATGGCACATACCTTCCCTCTTTGTAGGTCAAAATTCGACTTCATATAGCTTATTTCTTAGCTATCTAAATACAATCGAAGACATACATGATAAACTTTATTATTCCAATGTCTAGTGTATAATAAAATACTATATAGCATATGAAGTATGCTCTTGTTGGATATATAAAGCTTAAAATTAAAGGTCAAAGACTTATTAAGTCTATGTATCGTTGATCGTGATATTTGTTGAGTAAACCTTCATAAACTTTTTATAGTTTTTGTATTTATATTTGATTGACAGAAGCCAGTTTAAATCTGTGCACGCTTCAACTTACCCTATAGTGTCTGACTTAGGCCTTTTCACTGAATAAATAACATCCCCTCTCTTGAGGATCATATTCTCAAACCCCAGTTTTTTACAGTACCCTGAAACAACCTCTGGACTAATCAAAGTAGGGCATGACTAATCACGGATTGAATTTGAATGTTAGGTTTTGCAGAGGGAGGAAAACAAGGAGAAAAACCTATGAATCACATGTGATACTTAGTCTATTCTACTCACATGTGGACACGTTAAAATGTCAGTCACCACCAACAGCAGTCTTTCTCAAGACTACACTCACCCGGATGATCACATTTCACACCACGCATCACATGTGATACTTAGTCCAGGAAACTATATAAATAAATCAGCTTTATGGCAAACCCTTTGCTGATTAAACTATATAAATAAATAAATCAAACCCAATACTGTCAAGTGTATTTATATATACTGCAATCTACCCTTAATTCCCCCTGAATCACTCTTTTTGGGTGTTAATATTTTGCATTGTCTTGAAGGGTCTATCTCGTAGTAATGCTAGGGAATGAGTATATTAATCAAAGAGCATGCCAAACTCCAGATTTTTTAGCCAACTACTATTGCTTTCGAATATAATTTTGAATCCACAAATAAATCAGACTTGACAAAAAACATTTTTTGACATCATTACATGAGTATACTTTAAATCATCCATTATTTTATTATTTTCTGAAGCACATTAATCTGATACTTAACTATTGTTTTCTAGCATATGGTTGGTGAGGAAAATGCACGCAAGGCAATTTCTGCGCTTGACGACTCTGAGTTCATGGGAACACACATACAAGTACAGGTAATATATCATATATCATCACACTTCAGCCATTTTCCAGTCCAGAGTTCCTAGAAATCAAACATCCAAGCACATTTTGTCCTTAAAATGAATCATAAATTTTTGAAAAATTTTTGTGGAATATTTACATTTGAGTTTTTTCGTTTTGTTTCATTGTTTTCAAGTGTTGAAGCACAGCCTATTGATCTTGACATGGGTGTGATTTTCACTTTTGAAATCACATGAACATAATAATTGTGTTTTTGAAGAGCATATTTTCTTCAAAACAACTTTTCTAGACAAAACACAACAACAATTAGAGTTTTTGTTTTGTAGGATTTCTTGTTTAAATTTTGAATCTTTTATGTCTTTATCTTAGTGATTTTTTTTATAGTATATAGTAAATATTGTTCACTTACACTTGCCTCTCATTTCTGTGCTATTTTATTTGTCATGTTACGTCTTTTCGCGAAGAAAAATGAATAATAAAACATGCCAGGATTTGACTCTGACACAGTGATTTTAAAAATATTTTCTTAAATTGTTATTGAGGTTTAATTTTTGTTCTTTTCTCATTACCAAAGATTGCTAAGAGCAAGGGAAAACCAGCAGAAGATGAATGTTTCCAGTGTGGCAAAAGAGGTCACTGGTATGTGAATCTTTTATTATTAAATAAAAATTCTATACCGACACAATCCAGTATTCTAATTATCATTTAGTGCATGATTACATCTGTTTTCGATATTCTGTGATCTGTGATTCTGCGATTAGCTTGCTAATTTGGTTCTTCCCCTGAAAAAAAGGCTTTTTCTAGGTTATTCAGATTTTTTGCACCCCCCCCCCCCCAAATGTTATTGATATAATTTATATTAATTTAAATTAACTTAAATTTAGAAAATAATAGAATGTGAATAACAGGTAAGAGTCTATTAGGGGGGTTTTTGCTCAATAATCTTTCCGCTGAAATTGATTTATGCCTTGAAATGATTGAAAGATCATAAAAATATTTTTTGCATTAAAATAGGGCCAAAGATTGCTCGCAGAGGAGGTCTGGCCCATACAGACGCAGTGGTGGCAGATATGATAATCGCTCAGCACCTTATTCATATGGACCACGCAGGGACCCCTACAGTCGTGGCCCAGCCCCTAGGGATTACGATTATTATTATGACAGGCGTGGCCCACGAGATTATGGTGGTGCACCACCATACCGTAGTCGCAGCCCTGCAGGATATGACCGCCGATCACCTGAGTAAGTGTTAAATCAATAATTTTGATGTGTCCTACATATTCTGTGAACCACAGAGAGAGAGAAACTGCGGGGGGTGGGCAGTCTTAGGCCCAACCACCTTTTTAATTATCCACTAAATTTCCAAGTCTCTGCCTCACTCACTATATTTTCATTACCTCCCTCCCACTTTTTAGTTTTTTTGTTCTGGTTGTGCACCCTCATATCTGAGTAGAGTTGTACTGAATTGCAAGGTTGAGTTGAGTTGAAATATTTTTCTTTCCGTCCGCTTAGCTACTCCATGGGATATGAAGGATATGGGCCTCCAAGAAGCGGATATGGCGTAAGAAGGTAAACGAACGTAAAGATCTCCTGAATTCCTCTCATTCAGGTAATATCATGACAGTGTGAAGCACAAGCGGTAAACAACCATAGCCATTTGCTGGATCTGCTGTTCTGTTTTTTAGGTATTAGACGTTCGATGGCTCGGTGACCAATCCGTTCGGGCAGATCAAGATTGTTATAATGCAGCTTCGGAGTTGATCGAGGATAAAAACGGCAACTGCGGCAGGCTGTGAGAGACATGTATTATTACGGACAGGTTGACCATTACTGAAATTAATAAAACACTAATTCTTGAATAAGCATAGCACGTTAGATTTCTCTGCTGCACAACACAGTGATTTTAGCATTCTAGAAAATGCCATTCTAAAATGCAAGCGTCTCTTCCCATAGGAATCGTTTGTTTATTATACGTTGTTATTTTTTATCTTTTATTGTTTTTCATTCTATAAAATGGACGTAACTGAAATAATGTACGAGATACATTAAAGCTGAATAAACTGGGAAATAGACAAAGGTTGCGGAAGTCCTTTTTCACTCTTAAATCCAAACCGTGTACTCTCTGTGAGAATTAAATTTCAGTCAAATAGATTCTGGTCCGCTAGGAAGCAGCTGAAGTCGGGTTTCTTCGCAGTTCAAGTACGGAATGTGGCGGACATCGTGTGGCATACAGTGAGTAATCGCTGATCTGGAAGTTGATCTTGGTTCGGAATGTCTTCAAARTTCTTGTTAAGCTTGGAACAATTTCTTCATTCGTAATTTTATTTATTTTTTATCATAATTAATGTTTAGATGTGATTTTTTTTTACACTGCAAGGCTGAAAATTGGCCCAATACAGTGTCAAGAATAGACTGATTGGGCTAGATATCTTGCTTGATCTCATTTTCCTGTGTTCATTTTGTCTGGGATCTTGTTTAATATTTTAAGTATGTTAAGTACTTTTTCACTGCTGTAGACTATGAATTTTTTGTCCTGTGTCTGAAACCAGACAAGATCAAGTAATGTATTTCCTTTGATGTCTAAACAGGGTTGTGTAATCAACAGGATCAGGTTACATAATCCACAATGTGTAGTTCCAGAAATCATCCATACMCACCCCACAGAGGAATTTGGAATTTCCGAAGAGTAAGGGGTTAGAGAAAGAACAAAAATTACAGAGTTTGTATGGAAGAAAATTTGAATTTCCGGAGGGTAGGGGGGTGTCTTTAAAAAAGTTCCTCCGTGAGGGGGGTATGGATAATTTTTGGAACTACACAATACCAGTAGTCCCCTTCACAGATCTGTGAAGGGGACTGTTGCTTTTTTCCCCCACAAGGTTTCCTAGAGAACCATTTGCTTTAATCTTCTATTCTAGTACTAAGGTTTTTCTTTGTTTTATTATGTTTTTCAGTTAAGATATTATTGAAATTTGTAATAACAAGTACTGAGAACAACAATTCCATCACAAGTACTGCACTATTCAAGGTTTGTATTTACTATTTGATTAGTTTGTTTTCACTCACAGAAGAGCCCAAATCCCATTCTGGAGAAACACAATATCTCCTCTAGGTACTATGTAGTGATTTCGTAATGATTTGTGATTTATATAGCGCCTTTTCTATGTGCATTGTACATATTCAAAGGTGCTTATAATTATGAGGTGGTTAGTATGAGGTGTAATCACTGGAGAAACACAATAACTGCCCTACTGTACTATGTAATGATATGTGATTTATATAGTGCCTTTTCTATGTACATATTCAAAGGCATGTATAATCGTGAGATGGTTAGTATGAGGTGTAAAAACTGAGGATGGTAATTTTGCAGAGTACACCTAAATCCAAAACGGTTGAAAACGAGGCATCCAGGGCCAAATTTACAGTATTTTCTCATAATTTGGTGCTGCAAAATTCGTAGAAGAAAAGGAAGACAGAACGAGTGAACAAGTGTATACTTTGCATTGACACCATATTATTTCTTTGCATTTGGCCCTGGATGCCTCGTTTTCATGTAACACATTCAGCCGTGCGCCATTTTGGACTTAGGTCTATTCTTTCCATTACTAAGTTCTTTAAAATGTTTTATTTTTCAGATTTCAAACCCATGGCTTCCTGATGGGAATACAATGTCAATCATGATGGTCATTTTACATGAATGGTACTCACTTGGATGAGACAGATACATTACTTGCCTTTTGTGTCTTTGGTATTCCTGTGGTGGTTTCTCTTGGGTCAGGCAAAGAGGAAGTTCCAATGCAAGCTCACAATGCATATAATTTGATTTCAGTCAGGCACCCATACCAACATAATAGGTTGCCATCTAACCTTCGAGCACCCTTCTCCCAACCACACACAAACATCCCTCACCTTCCCCCAACCACAGACACACCCTAAGCTCCCTAAAAGTGACAGACTGTAAAATTCATCTTCAAGTTCTCCAAGGTCTTTTTAAAGCCCTTGTACAAGGGATATCATTAGTTAGGTTCTTGTTTGCTCCTTCAAGATCCCAGATGCAATTGCCAGTCTATATAGGAAATCAAATTAGCCAGGACTATGAGAATTTGTTTTTGGAAAATATCACTGATTATAATGTTGGTAATACTCAACATGACAAATGGGATTTGGCCCTTGAATACTGATAGAAACCCTGGAATTGCTTCTAAAGAAACTTGCTCATACCCTGGGATAGACCCCTTGTAACAATCCTACATTGGTCCATACAGGGTCCATACTAAACCACTCCACCGGATCATGTTGAGGGAAGGATTTGTAGGTATAGTTCTTATCCCATTTTGTTTGAGCTCCAGGAAACGTCATCAGTGCCAGTTTTGGTCTTACGATATGAAGTAAAAATGTCTAAATAAAATTAATAATACCCCTTAGAACACAGATATCCCAACTTTTTGTAAGTTTCCATCTGCAACCAATGGAAGCTGCCAATATTTTCTAAAGTTACTTTAATTATTCCTTTATCAGATGATTTGTTAATGTTGTGTTAAAAATAAAATGATGTGTTCATCAAAAGGAACATTCTGTTAATAATAATTATTTTTTAGAATTTTTGTCTTGAATTTTTCTATGATTCGGCTTTAAAAGATAGCTAGAGCTAGTCTCCTTTCCAGCTGTTCTTGGTGTCGGTCCAAACACTTCCCTCCCCATTTGACACAAAAAAAACAGCTGCTGAGGAGACAAGGCTTGTGCTGGCCTCTAAATATTTTTCAACTAAACTGGATAACCACCCACAACCTTTTTTAAAATAGGTGAATAAAAATGTAAATGTATACTGCGTTCACTAATAATTATAACGCATATGCAGTTTTCAACCAATCAAAGCGTGCACACACTACGAGCTATGTGTAATAAAAGTGGAATGTAAAGTGAAATTTCAGTCAACCAAGGAAGTTGTTAACTAAAAATAAGAGATTTTTCTAATTGAGAGTGTCCTGAAGGGGAACTTCTAATCCCATTTCCCAGTCTTCATTTTGACAAATATTCATAGTTCAAGCTCGTTCAAGCCTGTTCTGATGAAATGAAAATCCTATTCCCATTTTTATGGGCTTCCTGTGTGCTATTAAAGTAGAGAGAAGACTGAGTTTAATGAGTCAGCAACCTTTTGCGCATGTCTTGAAAAATAATGAGCCTGCGATTATAGAGTACGAAGAGTCAAAGAAAAAATCTAAAGTATTGAAAAATGGTAAGAAAATTATGCCTTTTTTCATTAACTTAGTTATTTTAAACTCTCCATATAACCGACACGATAAAGTTAGATATGTGTTTTAGCAATATCTCTAAGTTTTTTTTGAGAATTTTTGTCGTTTTGTGGCTAAATTTAGTGTTTAATGTAATGTTCAATGCCGGCTAGTGTTGCTTGTCAGTCCTTTGTACGGTCTTTTCTTGTCTCATTCAATAAATATTTCAATCTTAATTTCTTCCATCATTGAACAGGGACAAAACCAGTCAGGAGGAGGAGGTGCAGGAGGTGATAAGAAAGGAGATAAGGTCAGTATTTTTGTATTTTTATCATAAACGGTGTATTATACTCGTAAAAATAGGTGTATTTTGGTTATTCCTAACTTAAAAAGTTAACTATTAATAACACGCATTATTTATAGGATAAGAAGAAGAAATACGAACCTCCCGTACCAACCAGAGTAGGAAAAAGGCAGAAGAAAGCTAAAGGTCCTGATGCAGCAAACAAATTACCTAAAGGTTAGATAGAACAGTATCATTTATATTAATTACTTCATAGGAAAGGGGTTCTCTGTTAATGCATCCATGGTTAGGTATAGGAATAACTCAACGTAGACCTTAAGCCTCTTATTTTGTTAAATATTGATAAAACAAACTGGTGATGGGGTGTTGTGATGGCATGGTTGGTAAATGCGGATGGATGATGATGATTATAATGGATGATGATGATGGATGGATCTTGATTATCATGATGGATACATGTTGATAATAGTGATGAATGATGGATGGATGATAATGATAGTGATTATAAATGGATGGATGATGATGATGGTTGGTGACAATATATAGGAGGGATAATGATGATGGTAATAATAACCATTAAGATGATGGATAGATAATAATAATGACGATGATGATAAATGATTAAAAGATTGAGAATGATAATGATTGGTGGGTAAATGCCTGGGGAGTGGGAGTGGGGGGTGGGGTACTCTTGCCTGTTTAGGGTAGGGATGTTTTGCTGAGCCCTCCAAACCCTGACCCTGTTTCAGAGTAAAATTGCTGAAATTCATACCCTGTCCCAGAGGGGGCGCAATTTATAGTAGAATCGCTGAAAACCATACCCTGTTTGGCAATATAATGTATGAATGTTGATGGTGATATACTGATGTTGATTTTTTAATTGATGAACTTAAACAAGAAAGTAATATAAAGGGCAGCAATTTCAAAACCTTTAAAAAAATGTAATTAATAATTCTAATGGCTTTATTTCAGTGACACCTCACAGGAACTGCAGGCTAAAGATGCTAAAAATGGAGAGAATTAAAGATTTCCTGTTAATGGAAGAGGAATTTATTCAGAACCAAGAGAGACTCAAGCCACAAGAAGAGAAGCATGAGGTACATTATTACACTAGTTGGGCTACCTGTGGTACTTCATTTCATAGTACAACTTTCCTATAGCGCAGCACACTGATTCTAAAAATAGCTCAAAGATTCGGACAAACATTGTATTCTGTTTAACCGCTACAAGGATTATACCAACCGATTTTATTATTTTTATAATAACCCATGTAAACTAAGATCAAATGCAATCGTCTTTGAAAATTATCTGCTGAAAGTAAACTTGTAACTTGTCCAAATTTCGCCTTTGTCTTCCTTTTGATGGCGTCGCGGCTGCGCTGTGCTATTGACAGAGCATGTATATGTTATGTCATAGTTGCCATCTTGGTTGACGATAACAAAGCATTCCTCAATAGTTTCTCTTGTTAGATCGACCACGATGGCGGCTGTTTCATTGTTATTTATATCTCAAGGGATTTTGGTTGCAAACACTATCTAGGGAAGTTTTTTAGTCTGTTGATGCTTAAATGCATTAACAAGCGTCAAGGACGGCAATGCCAAGAACAATAATGGAAGGTGCACAAAAAATATGTTGGAAACTTGCTGGGGTCATCATTTCAGTGTCTCCTTCCTCAGTGCTCGTTATTACTTAAAGTCCCTATAATAGAATTATTTGTTTCAAGCTTTGTGTGTCCACACATTAATTACTAATACATGTTTTAATTTTATCATAAAACAGGAAGAGAGGTCCAAGGTTGATGATTTAAGGGGAACACCCATGTCTGTCGGCAACCTTGAGGAGATAATTGACGATAACCATGCAATTGTTTCCACATCAGTAGGATCTGAGCATTATGTCAGTATTCTGTCGTTTGTTGATAAAGATTTATTAGAACCTGGCTGTACTGTCCTGTTAAACCATAAGGTAAGAATATGATAAATTAATAATGATTTATGTATATATTGCCTTTTCTATGTATATGTCATAGGTGTTTCGAACAGATTTTTAGTCAGCTGACCAAAAGTATGGCTGATGCTATTCTTGTGTCAAACTACCTTATATAACCTATTACACATCATGCAATGAAAACAAATGTATTGCAAATCTTAACCAATGTGCAGGTTTTGAATTTTGATTCTTCCAAGATAAACCATATCGGAAGAAAAGATTTAGTTTATTGTGTAGTACCTTTTCTATTTTATTTTGTAATCAACCTTTTTTCAAATGTTTCGAAGGTTCATGCAGTTGTTGGTGTCCTCTCTGACGATGCCGACCCAATGGTCACTGTAATGAAGCTAGAGAAGGCACCACAGGAATCATATGCCGACATTGGTGGTCTTGATAATCAGATACAAGAAATTAAGGTCAGTAAAACACCCAAGTCCACTACAAAGTGTTGTGTGACAGGTACATGTAGTATCATCATTTTCAGTGTTGACTTTATTCCGTACCAGGAATCAGTAGAACTACCATTGACTCACCCTGAACTGTATGAAGAAATGGGTATCAAACCACCCAAAGGAGTAATCCTCTATGGCCCTCCAGGTACAGGGAAGACACTGCTGGCCAAAGCTGTGGCGAACCAAACTTCTGCTACCTTCTTACGTGTGGTTGGATCTGAACTCATTCAAAAATATCTGGTAAGATTGAATGAATAAATGAATGAATAAACAAAGACGAGGGCACAATCATACAAAAAATGATAAATAAATAAATATCTTTGTTTAAGTGTCTAGTCGTTCTAGCGCTTTTGCATTAATTGGGGACACTTCRCTCACATGCACTACCACTTCATTCAATACTCTATGCACACAATGCTCAACTTGCATACACACAAATAAATAAAATGAGTGATTGGTAGGTGGATAGATGGATGGATAGGTTTAGGGACAGATGAATAGGTAGGAATGAATGGAATGATAGTTGAGGAGCGGTTGATAGATGAATAGATAGATAGGTAGATGGTAGGTAGGTAGGTAGAATTTAAGCATGGGTAGAGGAATAAATAATGGATGAAATGTCGTGATGATTTAAGCAAGAGTAAACAAAGGAGTAAAAAATGATATAGAAATGATATATGGATTAAAGCAAAACGATTATACAAATGAAGAGAAAAATGAATGCATGTTGATTAAATAACTGACAATAGGAAATAAATAAATGGGCAGGAGGGCAAAAAAGTTAAGGAAAAGGAAAGAGATATTAAGATATTATTAAACATGTAGTCTTCATTAGTGCTGTCTAAACTCTGTCTCCTGGGGGGGGGGGGGTACTCCCTTCGTTAAGGTGATCGGCGCTCCTTTTAGGGTTGAAAATGTTCCCCGTGTGGACCTTTTAGGGGTTCCGACTCAAAAATCAATTACGTAACATAACTCCGTACCTTTTGGGGTCATTTATTATGGGCGTTATCCATGCTATGCTGCTATGTCTTCTTGATATCATATTTGTTGTATTTGTAATACAGGGTGATGGTCCAAAACTTGTCCGTGAGATGTTCAGAGTAGCAGAAGAACATGCTCCGTCTATTGTATTTATCGATGAAATTGATGCTATTGGAACAAAAAGGTATTGCTGGTTTTCAATCATTTCCAAGGGAGTAAAATAACAAGACATAGTGGCCATGTTGGTTGATATAACTAGTCTTTTGTTAAATTCAACCAACAAGGTGGCTATGAAGAAAAATGTGTAAGGCTACGCGTAAAAGAAGAAGAGACTATGTAGGTTCTCTGTAGGTTTCAAATACCAGAAATAAATAAAAAAGAAATTTGAGGGCAGTCTATAAATTTGATACCTGAAAGTTAAAAAGCTGAGAAAACCTGTTTCTACCCTGGAATTATTATTTAAAGTTATTAGATTTAAATTCTCCTGTTTAATGTTTCTGATCTAAGGTAAAACTTCATGTTTTCCTTCATTCATTTACTTATTCACTTGTTTGTTTATTTATTTATTGTGTTGAAGATATGAATCTAACTCAGGGGGAGAACGAGAGATCCAAAGAACGATGTTAGAACTTCTTAACCAGTTGGATGGCTTTGACTCTAAGGGAGATGTCAAGGTTAGTGAAAGTCACCAGTCTGTTGTTTCTTTTTCTTTTTTTATCCGTTCATTCTTGTTTACTAGGTTGTAATGGCAACAAATCGTATAGAAACCCTGGACCCAGCACTAATTCGTCCAGGTAAACTAACTACGCTTATTTTGACCAATACCCTGGTTGGTTTAATTCTTTGGTGTGATGCATATTTTTTTGTTTTAAGGCCGTATCGACCGCAAAATTGAATTTCCTTTACCTGATGAGAAAACCAAGAAACGCATATTTCACATTCATACGGGTCGCATGACCCTGGCTGATGATGTCAATATTGATGAGTATATCATGTCTAAGGATGATCTTTCTGGAGCTGACATCAAGGTAGGTGCAGGGGGCAGTACCTAACAATACACATAGTAGTCTTTCAAAACCTGAAACAACTCTGGACTCATCTAAGTCAGGGCATGGCTAACTCACAGATGGAACCCTGAAACAACTCTGGGCTGATCTAAGTCAAGGCATGGCTAACTCACAGATGGAACCCTGAAACAACCTCTGGGCTGATCTAAGTCAGGGCACGGCTAACTGACAGATTGAACCCTGAAACAACCTCTGGGCTAATCGAAGTCAAGGCACGGCTAATTCACAGATTGAACAGTGAAACAACCTCGGGCTGATCTAAGTCAGGGCATGGCTAACTCACAGATTGAACCCTGAAACAACCTCTGAGCTGATCTAAGTCAGGGCACGGCTAACTCACAGATTTTTTGTTTTTCAGGCAATCTGTACAGAGGCAGGCCTGATGGCTCTTCGAGAGAGAAGAATGAAGGTCACCAATGAAGACTTCAAGAAATCAAAAGAAAATGTGTTGTACCGAAAGAACGAAGGAACTCCTGAGGGTCTTTATCTGTAACCTTGTGTAAATGTAAACATGCAAGTATCATGACAATACACCAAAACGAAATAAGGCAACCAATTTAAATAACTATTGGTCTGCACTGACTAGCGACTGACTAGCCTTATGTTCACATGGAAACATACATGTAAAAGCGTTTTCACATGTATAAGAGGCTAGTCAGTGGAGAACAATAGTTATTCAAATGGGTTGCCTTATTTCGATTCGGTTTATAACCAACCATAAAACTGTTAACTTTTGTGAACACAGTGAAAAATAAATAAAAACCTTTGAAAACATTTTGCAAGCAGCTGCACAACTTTATTAATTTTCTAGAATTTGAAAAGACTCATTTGTAGTTTCGAATTCATCTTTTGAGTCCTTTTTTGTCTCTTGAAATACTACATCATGTACGTTGTAAATAAAAGAAACAAGTTGTCACTGGTGTCATAAATGATCAAAAAATCTATAAAAATCAATAGAAAATTTTTCTTGGAGTCCATGGTATTGTCATAGCTATTGACAGATAAAGCAAGTGTTCTTCACTCATATCTAGTAACCATTGATAAGGCAAATAATATAAATGATTTACAAGCTAGATGCAGTGGCAAGATTCTGGAAAAGGGGAAAATGAAATAACAAGAAAGAAATTACAGCCCTTAGGAATGAAAGTAGCAAACTTAATGCGAACAAAAACTAATTTTTGAATGTGAACTTACTTCATTCCAAGCTWCAATTATGATGAATTTGGATTYTTTTTAACTTGACTTTCCCAGAACCCYCATGTGTGCAAAYGATRTTATGATCTTTTTTGACCAAAATTCTTATGGATTGTCATAAAAGCAATAACTAAAATTAGATATACCAGTAATTATTTTCACATATAGTGGCTTGARAATTCATWCCCTTGAACTTGAACTTCTAATCATACAAATTCCTRTCWATAATATAAAAWWWTTAGCTAATCATYTGTGTATATTCWGCGCGTCAGTCCATGTAAGTTATGAAGGTTTTTGTGGCCTTTATGATGTTGGAATGGTAGCTGTTGTGCTGTAGCTTTCAGCTCTTCCATCTTTGTAGAGAAAGCCAGCAGTCTTGAAAAAGAAAAGAAAGTGGAAATAAGCAGGAGCAGATCATCCAATCTGAGAGAGGAAAGGGCCGTAAAAGGTCATGGACGTAGGCAGGGCCAAGGGGGCTTACCAACCCCCCCCTCCCCCTCCCCCTCTCCCTCTACCTCTCTCTCTCTTTGTGGCAACAAAATGGCAGCTTTCTAGAATTTATACAGTAGTAATTTCAATTTTATTTTTTAGTAAAAAGAAAAAGTAATAGGTAATGCCTGTTTTCTTTGTTGTTGTTTCTTTCTGTAAAAAGAAAACGTAATGCCGGGTGTTTTTGGTTCGGTCTTTTGCGGGGCACCATTAGAAGAAACCTCGCTGACTATGTAACTGTCTTCTCGATTATATCTTATATACAAAATGAAACGATAGGACATCTGGGAACAGCCTCAAAAGAAATTTTCAAAACAGGGTTTCCAGAAAATGGTATTTCTTCACAAAGATCTTTATTTCCTGGACAAACTGGAAATGTTTTTGGTGGCAAATAAATTTACCTGRTCGTCTGTGTTTGATCGGTATCGACGTCTCCTTTTCTTTACTTGATAAGAAAGATGTTATTATTAGTTATTGGATTACTCTTAATTTGTTATGTTAAATTTTTATATCTTGTCATGAATAAAATACCCTTGACATGCAAAACTCATGCACGGTTTTCTGCCCACATTTCTGTTGTAAAACCCTCCATTATCTTAACTCATCATGAATGACCTCATCAAAAAGCTTGCAAAAATTAACTTTTATGGCCTTTGCTGCAATGACCACAAAACAATGGCTCCATAGTAAAGTGGGATCTGATTTTTAAAATCTATCAGTTTTCTCTGTAATCACAGAGTGGGACAATCACGAACGGAACCCTCAGATCCATGCTAGGTGAAAGCCCAAGATCAAATTGGAATTTAGAAGTTGGTTTTTGATGTGTTTGAAGTTTTGTGGTCACTAAAAAGTGCATATTTATTTTGGGAAACTTAGGTCTATCACAAGGTTAAGTAACCTTTTCTGAGAGCAAACATGGTGCATTGTGGTCTAGCATTGGTACAAACATTTTGTTCATTGTGCTTTGTATAGTGTTGTTTGTGTCAAAGCTAGACCACAATGCATACTGCTTATCGAACTCGGAAAATGACTTTAGGTGCATCACGTGATGGAAGCCATGACAGGGGGCAGGAACAATGGAATATGGCCTTATATGATTTACATGAGAAAACATTCAGCCTCCCAGTGGGAAAAGACTCTATTGTTGTGCCTCCTGTCATGGAAGCCATCACGTGATGGTGCAAAGTCTCTATAAGAGACATCATTTCTGTTGAAATACTTACTTGAATTACGACAACAATAGCGATGACAATGACAGTCAAGGCAATAAAAATACAAATCAGTGCAATAGGTGTTGCACCAAGACCACTGCTTTTCGAGGGTTTATCTTCTGTCAGATAGTTGGACGTTGCCTGGACTTGCTGGGGGCTGGCAACAAATTTGGTACCAGCATAACTCACCACGATGTCTTCTCGACGAACCTGGTACATTTATGACAAAAGTCAAAAGGAGTAAAACATATAGCATTACTATTTTCCTTTCCTATCTTCTGCCAAATGTTCTTCAGCTGTATTGCGTGGTTTCAGAAACTTTTCTTACCCCACCATGGAGGAAATCGTATACAAACCTTGTTTTCTCTCTGACCCCCACCCCTGGAAATTTTCAATTTCCTCCATGGTGGGGTATGATAATTTCTGGAAACACACATCCCAAGCTTTTAATAGAATTTTTTTTCAATAACTTACAAATTATTCAAGCGCTGATTTAGTTATTATCAATCAATAAGAGGACAGACAGATAAAGCTGACGTCAATGAGCGCGCGCTCTTTCCGTTGGTTGTTTTGATCGCTAAAAATGAGAAGTTTTTATCGTTTTTGTTATTGTAAAAAAACAAATAGACATCAGTTTTTTTATCCGCAGACTTCTTTGACAATGTGATAATGAAATTTATCGTCAATAAGAGGACAGAAACATAAAAAACTGATGTCTATTTGTTAAATTTTCAGGTTGACAGCACATGGTGGTCAGTGTTAGACTAACGTCCATTTGAAGCAAATAATGAGATTTACAGTCAGCATATGAAGTATGAAGTAATTTTCCATAATAAGATCAAGTCCTCTGGGGGAGAGGTGGTAGTGCACACTGCCCTACACCCCTCCCCTAGATATCCCCCTGGTTCATATAAAGTTATTTTGCATGTCTTGCCTCATCATAAATGTGTTGTGCAAAGTCACTGATGTCCTTTCCTCCACTAGCAGGAACAACATAAAACTCTACAATAATACTTCCACTTGTGACCTGCAGGAAAACAATATCAATAAGATGAGCAGTGGCAGATCCGGGTGTGGTTCCGTGGATTCCATGGAACCTCCCTTTTGTAAGATCTAGTGAAGCCGAAACCAATCATGTTCTTTATGCTCATTATAATAAAATTAATATAATAAAATAATAAAACTCCCTTTGTGAAACCAATTTTACGTGGATATTAACAGGGGTTAATATGAATCTAAATCTGTAGGCGGGCCAGGATGGGAACAGGAAGTCGAATTTAATATTAAGCCTTTTATTCTCAAAGGAATGACACGTGGTCTGAAATGGGACAACATTATGCCCAAGCCGAGAAGGTCTATCAAAAGCAATGACTTACGGAAAGTTCAGCTATTTGTTCTTCTTTGATACCAAGTCGTTGAGAAAGCTGGCTCTTCAGCACCCTAAGGAAATAAAAGGCATCCAATTCAACTAATATAGATATAGAATTCTCATGCCGATAAGGCAGTTTTGTCGCGCGACTCGGGCGGCGATTTCAATGGCGATTTTATCGCAACCCTAATAAATCGCACGTGTAAACGCTCGACCATTTWATGTTGATTCTAAGGCGATAGATCGAAGCCTAGTCGCCATTCAAACATGCCTGGARTTTAGTACAACCCTCGGTGATTTTCAATTGAATGTAACCATGTTCGAAGTGGAGGCGACTTGGCTGGGATCTGTCGCCGTCAAATCGCAAAGAAAAAACAATCGCGGAGCGTTTRCRACCTCGGAATGGGTAATTGCGCCTGTGTCTACTTTTTGACTCTGGTACAAAATAGAATAATACAAATACGGAAGCAATAACGGCTTACGTTATGAAGTCTTTGAGAGAATTGTTGACCAACTGGAAGTCGTTTTTGAATGTAAGTTTGACGTGAACTTTGCTAAAGAAAGTAAAAAAAAGTCATTAGTTTGGAAATGCTTTTGTCAGTTTTCGAACTGTACTTCGTTTTTTTCACAGTGACCGTTCCATCATGTATTTTATGCATTATTTAAAAACTTACGTAATTTCCAGCTCTGTGTTGTTTAAAGAAGCAAGACATGAAAAGAGAGGGYGAGAAAAGAAGTTAAAATAAGGCAATACATTTTCCTACTCGTTTAACTCATTCTTTTATTACTTATTCATTCATTTATTCGTTCGTTGGTTGATTGGCTGTCACTTGTGTTCGTTCGTTCGTTCATTCATTGTGCGTCCATCTATCCTCTTATATTTTCGTCTTTTYATCCTATGTTTCACTTCGTTTCATTATCTTTCCATTGACCGTGCGTTCCCATTTCCATTCACCCATTCGTTCCATCCATTTTCCACATCATTCCTTTCATCCATCCCATTTCACACCACAACTTTCGTTCATGTATCTACCCATTTTGTTTGTTTATTCATGCTCATCACATCATAAATGAATATTAGGCCCCGTTCATTTATTCGTTAATTTTCGTTTGAAAACGCATACTTTTTGGTGCGTTTTTGGCCTTGCTTCCACTCACAAAAACGATCGAAACCGCCRAGCATTTACATCGAGCATTTACATTTTAGGGGGGATCCAGGAATTTGTTAGGAGRGTGTCCCAAATGGAGAAATGCATATAGAGATATGCATCGCTTCAAARAAGCGTAGTAATATCGGTGTTAAGGAGGGGGGGACTGTCCAGTGCGCCGCAAGACACACTCTAGGTTCGCCCCAGCATTTGAAAACAATCTCCGGACTGAGAGAAATGGTTTTAGTGTGGACGGGCCGTAAACACTATGAAAACGCTAGTGTGGACGCCAATTAAGCCTTCGATGCGGTTTCAGTGAGATGAAAACGGAGTGTATAAGGTTCGAAAACGCATCATCAGTGTGGATGGGATCTTATTTAAAACGACTCTCGCAATAAAACTAACAAGGTACCTACCGGATCTGGATCTAAGACACTTGGGTTGACCACGAGTCCTAGTCCCAGGCCATTCTTTGCCATCTGGTGACGAGCACCAGCAGTAACCGGTAGAGGCATGGCACTGGACGAGGGTGTATGTTCCATCTGGGTTACATGTTGGTCTATAGGCACCCAGTAGACCGCCTTGAGTTGCCTCTAAGGCCTTTTGTTCACATTCAGTGTTACCTAAGAACGGCAATGGTAAAATAATGCAATAACCAAGATTGTGCGCATTTTTTGAAAGGAGAAAGGTTAGTAGCTGGGAAAAGGAAAGAAGACA